CAGTTGAATGGGTTTACATTATTTATACTGTAGTTTAATAGCAAATAATGAACAAACAAAACACTCACCACACTGAGTGGTGGGAGGACTGGCTGCCAGTTGCGGGGGTCGGAGGGAGGGTAGTAGGGACTCGCAGGTGGCGGGAAACTTAAATATGATTTGGCGGCTGGGAATTTGGTGGCTGGAAATTTGGCGGTTGGGAATTCGCGAATATGTGAAGCCCGTGAAAGTTGAAAACGTGAATGTTGAGGGAGACCTGTATTTTTTAGTTTTTGTGAAATTGGCCAAATTGCAAATTTCTGACCACATTATTAGGTAGTTGAAATCGGTAAATGGGCAATTTCTTGTACTCAATCGATAGAAAAAATGGAGTTCTAAAGAAATAGCTGAGTTTGGGCAACTGGAACAATGGAATTAGCCGAAAATAGGGCTCAAAGTGGGCGAAATCGCCGATTTGTAAACAGCGCCGAGGTTGCTAACTTCGCGAGAGCATAATTCTGTCAGTTTTCCATCAAATTTCGTTTTTTTGGTGTCATTACAATCGGGAAAAGATTCTCTATCATTTCATAAGAAAAAATAATTTTTTTTTTAAATTTTGCGACACCAGGAGACACCTCAGGATTGGGGGTTGCGACAGTCAAAGGGTTAAAAATAGACATTTGATGCGGTACGATAGGATAGGTATTACTGGTACTATGAGCTGCCACTGGGTATAGTTAGTAGGTTACTAAAAACTAGTTGTTTGGAGACTGAGGCTCAGGTTAAGGTACGTAGGAAAGTTTTCTATTATAAGAAGGCCTTAGTGATGTATGAATGTTATTTAACACACCATTGGGTCATTCCATGTCAAGTGGACCAATTTTGAAAATTGTCCTCGCATGACCATCTACAATTTCGATAAAATTTTACATGAAGGTTGGCCATGTATATCAGTCTAACTTGGGGAAAATTTTAGTTTGATATGCAGTAGTAATGCAAAAATCTGCCCTTGTGTTTGACTTAAAATCATGACTGAAGTGTTTTCTAGGGTGGTTTTATTGGCTTTCTTGGTATCATTTAATAGAATAGAAAACATATTACCGAAATAAAGATGAAATTGATTAATTCCAGGACCTGAAGTAGGTTAAAAATTGGCATCAAAACAGCAGAAATATTCGATTTGTTTTTTTCTAATTTTTCTTGAGGACAGTTAAGGCCTCAAGCCATGACCAGTCATTCCTGGTTATATTTTATTATCCGAGAAATAAGGTAAATCTTCATTTTTTTTTTTTGTGATGAACTCAAAATGGAAGGGAAGTGTAATACAGCAGAGGCCTGGGGACATTATTAATAAACAGAGGAAATGTTTTTGTGCTTGGAATGTCTACAGTGTTTATTTTGGCCTGTTTTTAACTGGAATTTTTTTATTTGTGTAAAATTAGCCAAATTACCAATTTCTGTGTATTTTATCGGATAGTTTGATAGTTGAAAAGATGGTTTCTTGTGCTCAATCGATAGAACAAAAGGTGTGCTAGTGAACTAGTTAAGAATTTGGTCAAATTGAGCAATGTAATTATTTTAATCCTTAAACTGTCCAAATGTAGATCTACGTTCACGTGTGGGGGGGCTGCGAACGTAGATCTACTTTTTTTTTATATGATTTTAAATGGGTAAAATCAAGGTCGGAGCACTATGCACGTGAACGTAGATCTACATTTGGACAGTTTAAGGGTTAGAGTACAGTTGATGTGCAAATTGTGCTCAGACTGCTGAATTTGCACCTGCAAATTCTATAAGTTCTCTCTACTGACTTTCATACTTTTGGTGATATAGCTTCAGAAAAATATTGACTTGTGGGCAGCACTTTTGGTTTCGGGGCTTTGGACAGTGAAGGAGTTAAGATGCTTTAAGCAAGCAAGCATGAAATATGATCACATGTAACATAATTGATAGCTGTATAAAATATATTTATTTGTACTTCTCTATTGTCCACTATAGCATTTCGGAAATAACATTCTTAACAGGCTTTTAACTGCTAACATCTGATGTTTTTTCTTGGAGATGGGTGCTTCTGGTCAACTTTAGGTCATTCAGCACTGGATAGATTGATTATAGTAGCACATGGTTACTCACAGTTTGGATGCACTATTTTCTCTAGGTTCAGTTCTGTTTTATCAAAAATTTCTTTTAGTAGTGCAATGTGTGTACTGTACCAAGTACACTTGGGTGTTTTGTATTGGCTCTGCTGCAAATTGAAAGTCTCGGGGCTGTTAAATTTGTTGTTGGAAATTGTATTTGGGGGAAATATTAAGAATGAGCTGCTAGAGGTGCTTTTATCTTCAGTGGGTGGATGTATTGTCATAGGGAAATGAGCATTAAGGAATCCATTAAGAGTTTGTGTTGGGTTGCTCTCTTCTCCCCCTGTATTGAGCTTTCTGTAGAGCTGATTTTTTTTTTTTTCTTAACATTTTTTCACAAGCTAAGCAGCAGTTCTCTAGCTATTATATTCCTCAACAGATGTTGGCATTTTGAATCTTGGAGAATTTGAACAACAATGGAGGGAGTCGACAACTACATACCAAAGTGAGAAATTTTTGTATTGAATCATTTTAGGGCAACGCACTTCTTGAGTTGTGATAATTGGTTAAGACTGAGGGTCTGGATGACCATTATTAATGCTTGTCTTTAGTCCTTTGGCTGTGTCTTTCCTTCGAGATGAAAGAAAACTTAGGACAAGGTTTCACATTTTCAGGTGCAACTGATCTATCCCAAAGTCTTACTTTGGATGTTCAAAAGAAACTTTCTTCAATTAATCTTTTGTAAACCTTGGCTCTGGTCACCAACTGTACTAGTAGTGAAAAACATGCTTAGTCTATTGGTGGTTCTTTGTTCAGTCTTTTAAAGCATCTTGTGGTGGTTTGCCATTTATTTACGTTTTGTTCATACTGTACTTAGGACAATTTTCCTGATTGAATTTTGTGTGCTTGCAGCAATTTGATTACTGGACTGTTGTGGATTGAAGAAAAAAAGGAAACTTGTTTTTATCACACTCTTGGTAAACTCATCTGTAAATTGGGTAGGACTGCTTTTCCTCTTTGCCGCTTGGCTAATTAAGTTCTTGACCATTATTTTATGGGTAACACTGTGAAGACTAAATAGGAATAAGCAGTCAACAATACATTATAAAAAGGAATGTACTTGTTTGGTGTTGTGTAAAAGTTCTTTAACCCTTTCAGGGTTGAGAGGCCCTCTCCTAAACTTGTTCTCAGGGTTGAAAATTTTTCGGAAAAAAAAAAATAATTTTTTCTTATGAAATGATAGAGAATCTTTTCCTGATCATAATGACACCAAAAGTATGAAATTTGATGGAAAACTTAGGGAATTATGTTCTCGCGATGTTTATACATCGCCGATGTGTAAACATTGGCGATTCCACCCACTTTGAGCCCTATTTTTGGCCAATTCCTGTGTGCTAGTCGACAAAAATCATATTTATTTCGCTAGAACTCCATTTTTTCTATCGAATGTGTACAGGAAACCACCCATTTACCAATTTCAACTATCCAATGTAGCGGTTAGAAATTCGCAATTTTGTCAATTTCACACAAATTTTAGAAGATACCAATTTCCAAATAGGGTCCAGAATAAACAAGAAAGACATTCCTGGCATTAAAATAAGTTCTCTGTTCATTAGTCACGTCCCCAGGCCCCTCTTATATTTCTTTTGCTTTCCACTTGAATTTTTATTCTTACAAAAAATAAAAGATTTACTGTTATTCAGACTACTGCATTAGTGTAGAAATGGTATAAATAATATCAGCGCACTTGTGAAAGAATATTAGACTCACCAGTTGACGTGTATTGGACATGGCATGATTGGTTTACTTTCGAACTTTGGTAAAAATCGAACATTTCTGCTACTTTGAGCTCATTTTCAAGGTACTTTTCTTTGTGAAACCAGTCAAAATCATCTCAATTTCTGTAATGTGTCTTCCATTCTATAAAATGAGACCAGGAAAACTAGAATACAACAATAAATACCATACAAAAATACAGTGCAAAGTCGCTGTTTTAATCCAAAAACACGGTCAGTTTTTTTTTCTCATTACGCACTGTGTGCTGAACGATTTTTTTATACTGTGCACACTGACCACATAGACCCATTCTTTCATATGTAGGCCTACCAGCTTTCTCTCGCTAGATTTGAAGGCGCTAGAATTTAGGCGTACTAGTACATCAATAACCCTGGTGCGTAAGCTGTACTAGTACGTCAAAAACCCTGAAAGGGTTAAAAAAAAAAAAAAAGTGTGATCTCTGAGCTAAACTATTGTATTTTATATATAAAATTTGGCAGTAGTGATACTCAGTCTTAGGGCAATGGTGTACCATCAGAATTAGCTTTGATACCTACTGATATTTTGGCACTCCCCTAAAAGCTTCATACCATATATGTAATGGATGTATATTATTAATGGTGGTTAGTGTAATACGTACTGTATTAATTTAACTATCTCTTGTTAAATTAAAACACTAATTGTTTCCTTGCCTGTATTTTGAATATCTAGTACTTCATTTTACTGAGATTTAAAGATTTAAAATATAAAAAAATACATGTGACTTAACCTTTAAAGAAGGTAATGTTTCTAAAGGGAGCAGGGTATTAATAAATGTTATGTAAAGTTAGTCTTTAGACATAGCATATGACTCCTGAATGAAAAGTATCATATGTGCTCTATAACAGTACTCCTGTATAATCATAATAATGCTGCAAAAACTATTAGGTACTAATGATAAGAATATTAGTTTGCTGTGTTAGCCATGATGAAGGTAAGGGGTAAAAATTGGAACCAGATGTACCATGCAATAGAGTCCAGGAAACATTATTTTGTAGCCCTAGTCATCAATAAAATTCTGAAAGGGGATGATTTGGTAACCTATCTTTATTGTTAAATTCTGTATGTATGGGTAGTGTGTTCTATTATTAGTTGTCTATATGTTTTATATTTGACTTGCATTTGCAGAAGAATGCGAATGGATTGCAAGGTCTATGTGGGCAACCTTGGCAACAATGCTGCAAAGCATGAGCTGGAGTCAGCATTCACCAAGTATGGTCCATTAGTGAATGTGTGGGTTGCACGTAATCCTCCTGGCTTTGCATTTGTTGAATTTGAGGATCCACGGGATGCTGAAGATGCAGTTCGAGCCCTGGATGGAACGTAAGTTGTGTGTGTGTGAACTTATTTCAAATATTGTAATGGAGTACTTTTGCTTACCACACTAAAATATTATATGGTACTTTGCTTAACTTTTAAATTTGGTGTAGGTTTTGTTCTTCTACATGGTGGAATTAAGATAGAAATGGCAGTAGAACTTTCATGCATGCGAGTGTACATACACGTGTATGTACCTCATGACTTTAATTTTTGTAATAAATTTAAATTCATGTATATAAATGCAGTGAAATTTTGATCATTAAACAGGTTTGACATAAATGTTGCCTTTTTTCTAAAGCCAAATACAGTGGACCCCCGCATAACGATGGCATCACATAGCGATTATTTCGCATACCGCTTACTTTAATTGCAAAAATTTTGCCTCACATACCGCTTAAAAACCCGCTTACCGATTTTCGTCCGAGACGCGTCCAATGTGCGGCCTGAGCCACGCTCACATGTTCCGCCGGTGGCATTGTTTACCAGCCAGCCTCCACGGTAACATCCAAGTATACAATCGGAATATTTCGTATTATTACAGTGTTTTCGGTGCTTTTTCTGGAAAATAAGTGACCATGGGCCCCAAGAAAGCTTCTAGTGCCAACCCTACAGCAATAAGGGTGAGAATTACAATAGTGATGAAGAAAAAGATCGTTGATAAGTATGAAAGTGGAGTGCATGTCTCCGAGCTGGCCAGGTTGTATAATAAACCCCAATCAACCATCGCTACTATTGGTGGTACAGCTGCTGCTGCACTGTCAGCTGCTGCTGCTGCTGCACTGTCAGCTGCTGCTGCTGCTGTAGCACCGTTGTTGGTGTGGCTTATTGAGAATACCAAGAAACAATTAACCCCAGAGGATTTGCCACCCAGGATAACCCAAAAAAGTCACTGTCATCGAAGACTGTCTAACTTATTTCCATTGGGGTCCTTAATCTTGTCTCCCAGGATGCAACCCACACAAGTCGACTAACACCCAGGTGAACAGGGAAAAAATGCCTGGAACTAGTGCTCATATTGGTGAATTTAAAGCCAGCAAAGGTTGGTTTGAGAGATTTAAGAATCGTAGTGGCATACACAGTGTGATAAGGCCTGTTCTGGAAGAAAATGCCAAACAGGACCTACAGTACTCAGGAGGAAAAGGCACTCCCAGGACACAGTGTCTCATCAGTCATTGCTGCATCTTCAATAAAGGTAAGTGTCATTTATTCTTCATTTAGTAGACTAGTACATGCACAATATATACTGTGCATGTACTACTCTACTATTGTGCATGTATCCTTCTCTTTGTGTGTGGGAAAATGTATATTTCATGTGGTAAAATTTTTTTTTTCATACTTTTGGGTGTCTTGCACGGATTAATTTGATTTCCATTATTTCTTATGGGGAAAATTCATTCACATAGCGATTATTTCGCATAACAATTACCCCTCTTGCACGGATTAAAATCGTTAACCGGGGGTCCACTGTATGGGGAAAGGGGGGTTTTTATTACCTATTTCAGAGGGACCCATGCTTCCTTGGTTAAGCCATTATATTGTTGACAGATTAGCTTTGACTCTTGTACTAAATGTTTCACGTGGGTCCATCTGTGATTATAAATAGTTACCGTAGTTGTATTACTGTACTTGTTTTTTGAGCAGTTTGGATTCTTAAGAAATAGGTTGTGATATTTTCCTTCTTATTAAAATTTGCGTGGTTTTTTTTTTTCCTAGTCGTTTATGTGGTGTGCGTGTAAGAGTGGAGATGTCCACTGGCCGATCACGCCGTGAACGATACCGTTCTTCCCCAAGACGAGGTGGAAGTAGGCGATCAAGGTATGAACTTTTCCAGTTTTTGTTCCTGAGCGTGTTGATTTCAACATTGGGTACAATGGGTTTGGCAGGTATAGTAGGGAGCTTAAGACAAAACATCTTTGATATGGCTGTTTTGAAGAGTGGCTTCATCTTTATCAGAAAATTCAAAAGCCAGCCTAAAGTAATCTTGGTAATATTTAACATCGTTGAAGTAATATATTTTTGTATGCTCAGAGTGATTTTTGTAAAGTTAGAATGAATTAATACATGACTTGTTTGGCAAAAATAAAGTACAGTACAGTAAACATACTCAGAGTGTGGGTTGTCCTAAAAATTGGAGCATTGTAAACTAGGGTTATGTTCTAGGCACAAATTTGTCAGTCTTTTTTTTTGTATTGTAAAAATTAGTGTTTGTGTATGTGTACTCGCCTAATTCACCTAATTGTACTAGCCTAATTGTGGTTGCAGGGGTCGAGACTCGGCTCCAGTCCTGGCCCCGCCTCTTCACTGACCGCTACTAGGTCCTCCCTCTCCCTGCTCCATGAACTTTATCATACCTCGTCTTAAAACTATGTATGGTTCCTGCCTCCACTACATCACTTGCCAGAGTATTCCACTTCCTAACAACTCTGTGGCTGAAAAAATACTTCCCAACATCCCTTTGGCTCATCTGAGTCTTCAACTACCAATTGTGATCCCTTGTTTCTGTTTCATCTCTGGAACATCCTGTCTCTGTCCACCTTATCTATTCCATGCAGTGTTTTGTATGTTGTTATCATGTCACCCCTGACCCTCCTGTCCTCCAGTGTCATCAGACCGATTTCCCATAACCTTTCTTCGTAGGACATTTCCCTTAGCTCTGGAACCAGCCTTGTTGCAAACCTTTGCACTTTCAGTTTCTTGATGTGTGTGTGTGTTTGTGTGCGTATGTGTGTGTCAGATTGTGTGTAGATTCTGTAGTCCAGAATCTTCACGACTACGGTGCTCTTCACACCAACTCCAAGGCTGAGGGACTGATTACCTCATATTTTGTATATAGTTCTACTGTCTTCAAATTATGTACTAGAATCTGTATTGATAAAGCCACCAAATGGCAAAACGTCTGCAATAAAGATACCCAGATGTTGCATGTGTGTCTTGTTTATTTTTTCTGTATGTTTGTACTATATATGCACATATACATACACATAATGGAGGGAAGGTGGGGTAGGGGTCATCCTAGGAAAGGTTGGAGGAAGGGGGTAAAGTGGTTTTGTATGTGAGGGGCTTGGACATTCACACAGGTGCGTGTGACAGTATTAGATAGGGATGAATGGAGGCAAATGGTTTTTTATGACTTGACATGTCATTGGAGTGTGAGCGAAGTAACACGAAGGGATTCAGGGAAACCAGTTAGCTGGACTTGTCCTGGAAGTGGGAAGTACAGTGCCTTCTCTCTGCAGTAGAGGTGAGGATATTGCAGAGCTGTAGTGCACCTCTTGCAAGATGGTGATGAGGTGAATGATGTTGAAAGTGTTTCTTCTTTTTTGGGATAACCCTACCTCTGGACATGACTGGTGTGTTAAAAAATGTACACCCATGTATGTCTGCTCTTTGAATCAAATTTGGTGACTTTGTTCATCTTGTATTGTTTAATCAAACAAGCTCAGCATGCTGTATTAATTTATTTTTGCTATAACTTGGGGAAAATCACACTGAAAAGGAAATTATTATGCTTTGTTAAATTAAGGCTGTCCTTAGGTTGGGTAAGATCCAGTTACTGTTTATGTTAGAAAAGATTGTGTAAGTTTGCAAGTTAGTTTTTAGTAAAAAAAAAATTTTTTTTATACTACAGTATTTATTGACGTGGTTTTCGACGTAACAAAATAGTGATGAAAAATCAAATTTTGAGGTGCAATACACAATTTTTAAGGTAGTTTGGTTTGTTTAATGGACTTTATTACACATCGTGCATACATAATGCATATACTCTACGTACAAATCCTCAAATCCAGCTTCTTTGGAATGAAAACATGGATAATTTTCAGGATTTCCTGATTTTGGTGTACATTACTAAATACAGCCTCTCCCCACTTAGCAACGTACTCGTTTACTGACAACTCGGACTTACAACAGGCTCTGTGACCGGTATGCATACCTAAATAATGTATGTTAAGAGCTGATTTCCTCTATTCTGTTTATTACAATATACAGTATACTGCTGTATAAACATTTAAAAATATACCAGAAATGTTGTTATAAATGGTGCAAAGGTGATATTAAAACAGTATCAAAGATGACTGACGCAAATCCACTACCATTATAATATGCTCCTCACTTAGCGACAAATTCGTTTACTGATGTGGTCTTAGGAATGGATCTCTGTCGTTAAGTGAGAAGAGGCTGTATAATCAGGTTCCCTATCAAGTTTCCTGTAATACAAATGTGGGATGGGGTTTGCCTGGTAATGACTGCAGTCTTGGATGTAGGATTTGTATGTCTTTATAGTTGACCCCTTCCCCACAGTCCAGCCTGTCAGTCACCGTGCTGTTTTAATTCTAGGATTCAAACACTAACATGAAATATTCGAGGTGCTTTGAGCTCACTTTGTGTATACTTGATACTTTCTTCTTGTATCATTGTGTATTGTTTGTCTTCATTTTAATTTGGTTTTACTTGAAAGTTTGGTGATACAACTTTAGATTAATATTTTCTAGCATTTTTGTTTTCCCAACAAACCGGCCATATCCCACCGAGGCAGGGTGGCCCAAAAAGAAAAAAGAAAGTTTCTTTTTAAATTTAGTAATTTATGCAGGAGAAGGGGTTACTAGCCCCTTGCTCCTGGCATTTTAGTCGCCTCTTACAACACGCATGGCTTAGAGGAAGAATTCTGTTTCACTTCCCCATGGAGATAAGAGGAAATAAACAAGAACAAGAACTAGAAAGAAAATAGAAGAAAACCCAGAGGGGTGTGTGTATATATATGCTTGTACATGTATGTGTAGTGTGACCTAAGTGTAAGTAGAAGTAGCAAGACGTACCTGAAATCTTGCACGTTTGAGACAAAACAGGACACCAGCAATCCTACCATCATGTAAAACAATTACAAACTTTCGTTTTACACTCACTTGGCAGGACCTCCCTGGGCGGCTGCTGTTTACCAGCCTACTACCTATGATTTTCTAGCATATCTGTTAAAAAAATTTATACTTCATGATTATTGTATCTAAAACAAAACTTGGAGTGAAAGAGGGAGGTAGAATATATTTAGTGAGGGCATGTAACCAAATACCAGTACTGCTGCTGCTGTCCCAAAATATTGTACAGCTTGTTGAATAAGTTAAATAAGTGTGTAGTTTTCATACTTTTTGTTTATTACTTTAGAAAAAGATTCTCTACCATTTCATAAGAAAAAAATAATTTTTTTTTGAAAATTCTTGGACAGTGTGGACAAGTTTCAGATTGGGGGTCTGGACAGTGAAAGGGTTAATATCACTGAACAGCATGTAAAATTTACACAGGCTTGTTGAGTGATAAACCATACCACAGGTGGGGATAGAACCCATGATCAGAGAGACTTATCGCGGGTTCTATCCCCGCCCGTGGTATGGTTTGTTTGCAATAGTGTCATTATGATTTCGTGAGTCTTGAGTGATACTTGATTTAAGTATAATTGATTTTTTTATGACATACAAATCCCCCATGTCTTAAGATTTAAGTGTTAAAATGGAGTGATTTCCATGAATTATTGTGCTACACCAGATATAAAATATATGGCATACCCTGCCTATGAAAAGAAAAAATGGAAGGGGAAATGCTGGGCCAATTGTTAGCCGACTACAAATGACACTTGTTAATCACAGTGGATATATTACTAAAATGTTGCTCCCCAATATTTAAGTTTGAATTTTATAGCAAATTATCAATTTATACATAATCTTTTATTTCGTATTATATTTAATTAAATGACCTGTAAGAAAAGTGTCCATCAATGGCATAACATAAATCTCGCTGCATCGCCCATGCTAACATCACATGTAGTATTGTACTTATTGCATATGCTTGCTCTATACTCCCTCATTACAATAGTTGAATGTGGTGTGGGAGGAGTAGGGTGATGTGTAAGGGCAGCAGGTAGACTGCCTCCCATTTATTTTCACTATCCATTTCATTGCCACTTTCCCTCGTATCATATCTAACACAATACTCTACATGTGAGGGTTTGCCTGGGTATATGGTGTGGGGGTGTAATTGTGAGGGTAATTGTTTAAGAGAAGGTATGGCAGGAGGGTGTGGTGTGGATGAGTTAAATTTACTATTCCAAAGCACCTCAACAGGTGATATATCCAGAACATGGCAACACCTGTGACTAACACTTGTACAAATGCACACACTCAAGGTCATCTTGTCTCCTGTTTCAAAACCTTCTACTCTGTGAAACTGATTGCCAGATCACCTCAACTGTCAAGTCTAAAAAAATTAGATGAGATTTTATTCTCAATTTTGACGACTTGGGTGTGTGTACCACACTTATGTATTTGCTCCTGGATGCCTTAACCCTTTCACTGTATTGTAGATCTACAGCACTAAGACAAGTGTTGCTTACCTAGATTTAAATTTTTATTATAGTGCCCTCAAATATACATGTGATCGGTAAGTAATGGCCTAGACATGAGAGAATGGATGTGTGTGTTGGGTGTGTTCAATGTAAAGAAAATCCTGCACTATGCAGAGCTTTATAGGATCAGTGAACCTCTGATCCCATGTCTGGGTTAAAATAGTGACTGAGGAATTTTCTAGAGTGGATTTTCCGATCTTATTGCTATTTCTTAGTGTTTGATATAGTAGAAGACATGGTGAAATGGAGACTATTATGATTTTGATCCTTTTCAGACAAAGTGGCCAGATATAGGCCTCGAAGTAGTAGAAATATTTGATTTTTGGTGAATTTCCTAAGGAAGGGCAGGGCCATCAAAACCTCTCTTCCCTGTCTATTTTATTGGTGTTTTTACTAGGTTTTCATCAATTGCTTGGATGCCCTAAACCATGATTGCTCATTTTTTTTAATGGATTCAGAGTGGCTGGCAAGTGTTATATAGGAAAGGCCTGGGGTTGTGATTAGTGAACAGAGGAATAGTTACTTTAGTTGCTGGAATGCCAACAGTGTTCATTTTGGACTCTTGCTTTTTAAATTGGAATTAGTTAAATTTTGTGCAAGATTGGAAAAGTTATTGAATTCTGTGCACTAAATTTATAGGGTAGTTCTGACAGTTGAATGGGCAATTTTTTTTACTCTTTGATAGAACAGAAGGTATACTAGGAAAATAACCAAGAATTGGGTCATTTTGAGCCACGGAATTGGCCTAAAATATGCCTCAAACTGAGCAAAATCAGTTGCATAAAGTTCTCCCAACTTTCAAATTTGTGATTGCATAATTTCATAACCTTTTCCATCAGATTTTGCATTTTTTGTAATTACCTTTAGAAAGACTACTGTTTCAGAAGAAATTATTATTTTTAAATTGGCAGGACTTAATTTCAGAGGTTGCAACAGTGAAAGAGGGTTTTTAATTTGCAAATATGAGAAAGCTAAACCAGAGAAATATATTTACAGGTACATTATTATTCCCCCACCTGCAGTATTCCCACCAACCTTGCCAACATTCTGTTGAGAGGCATAGTCATCATAAGTCATTGTTTCTACTGTCATCAGTGGGCACTTAGATTTTTTACAATTACAGATGCCCCCTTTCCCATCAATGGATTGCCCAATGTGTCTCCATACCCCCAGTGCCAGACTGTCAAAACAATCACTACCAGTCCTATTAGGTACCAGTGTGACTTCAGAAAAGATGTCAGTAGCTTGGTTTAACTTTACATGTGGATAGCTAGGAACAGAACAGGTGATAGTTTATTCCAATCTAGCAACAACAATTTTTTTTTTGTTAAAGATCAAGTCCCATATCTCCATTATTGGTTCCCATACTCCCCCCTTGCCCCCAGTAAAGAATCCCTGATGTAGATAAAACCAGACTGCATTATTTCATACGGTAGATTTGACAAACATTATGTAATGAAACTTCATTGGCTGTCATCACATAGGTCAAAGAATACTTGTATATATACAGAACACAATGAAGAATTGAGACACTTGTGCAGTCCATCACTCTTGATGGTCTGAACACATCGATTCCAGGTTGAGGGACTGGTTACCTCAATCTCCTCCTCTCCTTACCCATTTCTACTTTGTACTGGACCGATGAAGCTACTGTGTGGCGAAACGTTTCTTCAGTAAAGATTCCCATGTGTTGCATAAGTGTCTCAATTCTTCAACTTGTCGGTTTTCAAAACCATTCATCACACAGAACACAATACAAAGCATGTTTTATTCATTGAGGCACTGATAATCTCCCCATGAACTGGAAAGATACTAAGCCAGTTATCAAAGAATGAAAGATCAGCATTTCAAATACTATTACACAGGACCAGGGTAACTTCATGTTAGCTAAGCCTTTAGCTTAAATCATACTTGCAAGTTATCCACATATTCAGGAATCATTATAATGATCCATTGTACACTTTGCATTGCCCCCCCCCTCCCCAGGATGCTCTTGTATCCTCTGATAATTTGATAAAACCCACTGTGTGGGTAAATGTCACTAACAAAGGTATCCACTGCATCTGAGTGCAATGATTCTTTGTTGGTATGTACATACCATCCAGTTCTTTGAGTTGTAGACTGAAATCTGCCCTGTAGACAAAACACTGTGGTTTAAGGTTGGTGTTCAAATGAAAACTTACAGGGTTTGTGCCTACCTTGTACAGTACATTGCTCACCTATATCATATCTAAATGACACATTTAGGTGTTCCTCTTTCTCTAAATGACACACTTTGGATGAGTGGAAAGAGGAACCCCTTAGGACCATCATCAAGTCTCTGACATGGATGATCCAAGAAAAAAAAAAAGTGAACCAAGACATAATACATAAGGCCTGAAGAGTCAGCATAAATAAACTTATCCAGAATGCCACCAAAACAAACAAGCAACAAAAATAGAAATCCATATTTCATTTTATATAGTTTTATATAATTTTCATTTTGAATAAAAGGCTGATTTGAGGATTTGTACGTGTTTATACATACGGTACATGTGTATATATATATATTTTTTTTTTTTTATTTTTTTTTTATTTTTTTTTTTTTTGTTAACTAAGACTTTCGATGCAGTGCTTCCTCGACAGTGTTTGGGCTTGCACACACCATTTTTGATGGTTCTTATGATCATGCTTTTTCTCTCCCTCCCCCCTTTTTTTTCAGTAAATCTTGAATAAAATTGCTAACTTCTGATTATCTCATTTTTGATGTAAGGTAATGTTGGACTTAAAATGTAGCAATTTAATTATTTTCTACAAGCTTCCCATTCAGGGACATTATAAAGCTAAAGGTTGCCTTTGCTGATGTGAGTGCAGGTGTTGAGGTAGGTTGCTAAGACTAAGGTGGGTAGATGCTAGATGATCTTGCTGAGACAAGATTCTCATTTCTCTTAATTCCTTTTGACTTTTAGTTCAGATTTATTATATACACTGTTGAACTTACAATTTTTTCATGAGGTTCTTAATATTGCAAAACTAATGTTCATTCTCTCACTGACAGTTTTTCTTTGGGGAGAGTACCAAACACTAGCCATATAAGTTTTTATTAATTTTCTTATTATTTTAAATTTAAAGCTCAAACACATTAATGGGTTATAATGCTGTTTGCCTTAATTATCAACAGAATTTCAGCTCATCACATTTTGAGCATTAAATACTCTATATTTCAATTTTTTGTTAATTGTGGTGTGTGGCCCATTTACAGGACTATCTCGCCCAAATTACTTCTTGTACCACCACCACCACCATCTACTCCTCCTACTGTTGCTACCACACCACCACCACCACCACCACCAACTCCACCACAACCACCACCACCACCACCACCACCACAAGTACTTCCACCACCACCACCACCACCACCACCACTGCTAGCATCAGCATCAGCCTGCTTGTACAGTGGGCTTCCAGTATTGGGTTGTAGGGGAGGTTGGAGCTCTCTCTGGGGGCTCCAACTCGTCACCTAATCTTACACTGGTGAAACAACTCAAGAACATATATAAATCATGAGACTTCCTTTGGTAGTGAAGCATGTTCTCTGTAAAGGTCATGCTTCACTGTCACTGGGTAGTGGAGTGTACCAGTGTTGGATGAGGTGTTGGCCCCTGATCAGCCAAGGCATGGCGGCGGTGGTGGTGAGCGGCACGTTGCCTGATGGCCCTCCTACTGCGCGGCACCTCGCGGCACCCGGGCAGCCCTTATGCGCTTCACGTGTCCTCTTCTCCCCGCCCGTCTACGTCTACCCTCCGCCCACTGCCCGCCCAACGCCCGCCCGCTGCCTGCGCACCGTCAGGCCTGCCCCCCCACCCACCATCTTGGGTCTCTGACCCTCCAACGCTCGCTCCACTTTCTTACATTCATCGCGTCTCGTCTCATCATAACGACTACCCTGCTGTGACGGTACACTACTCAGTATTTGACCATTTGATCACTATTCACAAACTTGTTTGTGATTGTCAGTCAAACGTAGGTATACATCCTATCATTAAGGATGATGATACCTTGAGGAGTGATTGTTTACCTGTAGATGGTTCATTTGTTTTATGCTTACTGGAACATTTGAATCTCTAGCAGGGTACTCACGAGTGTCACCCAGGTGGTTTGTGGGTATGGGCTGGACAGCTTGAGGCATCATTTTCTTTACAGTTCTTCATTGCATCATTTAGGAGCATTTTCCATTGTAGAACTTTTGATCATCATAAATTACTTAGAGCTTGTAATTATATCTCTTAACATGTTTTTCTCAAATTAATCAGTTGTTGGTAAAAAAATATTAACTCATTCAAGAGTATATTAATGTAGCCAGCATGTCCTCCTCAAATATGGTGGTAATGGATTCCTTCTTACCTTGGCTGACTGAACCCCACATACCATATAAGGGCAGTACAGTTGGCAAACTGTATGGTTTAATAACCGCAAGCAGAGGCAGGTCTAGTTTCTGGTCACAATCATGTACTCAAGGAATCTGAATTATATTAACAAAAATTATTCATCTCATGGGTTCATGTAGGGTAGCGATTAGAAATATTTGAATAAAAGGGAATGGAAAGTGCTCTGATTAATCCAGTGTTCCTTTTTCAAGGAGGTGGTTACTTCCAAGAACAATAACAAGTATCTTACATCCAAGAATTTGAATATTAATTCAGTCCTCATTGCAGGTCCCGTTCACCTAGGAGGTTTGGTCGTTCTCGTTCCAGATCACCAAGACGCTCCCGATCTCGCTCCCCCAGGTCTGTTTCACGATCCCCAAGGTCTGTGTCATGTAACCATATTAGCAATCTTGTGTTGTAGTGCTTCTCATTTGTTTCACTGCTTCTCACATATGTGGTAAATGTCTGTTTCGGTAAAAATCTTTGGTTTGCCATCTTGCTTAAAGTTCGATTTTTTTTTTTTTTTTTTTTTTATAGAAATTGAGAACAGTACTTGCCTAATAAGTCTTAGTTTTATGCATAATGTCTTATTTAAGAACTGTAGAACTTTTACAGTTATTTTGATAAACTAAGCCAACCCATAAAATCCTTGCTTTTGGTTTAAGCAGCATTAATTAAAATTTATTAATTAAATTAGAAAACAAAATATAACTGATAGATAATTTTGTTCGAACAGCTATTCAAGCAAATGTGACCAGACAAAAAAATACTCAGATTTATTTTCTGGGCGTGTTTATTTTATTATAATTATTATTTAACGAGAAGCACTAAACTGTAGGGAAGTGGGAAGCATTCACGTTTGATCCAAGAAAGTGAAGGATGGTTTCAGTTCTTTGAATCAAGAGCCCTTCACTAGCATCAAGGATCTTTTGGGTGCAGAGTATCTTAAAATCTAATATATATAGTTTATAAAAGCTAGCTAAAGATATTTTGTGTGCTGGCTGATGCATCCATTCATTGTAACTCATTTGTAACTCAATGATAACTTATTTTTTATAACTGGTAAGAGTTGTAGCCAAAATAGTAATGCTTTCTGATATTCCTGTAGCTTATTTGCCATGGTAGACAAGGCTTGGCTCTTTTACCAAGAGCTTATCCTTGTGTATCCTATCTATGCTTATAGTATTTTGCTGTGATCATGCTCCCTCATTTTCTTTGCTTCTTGGGCAAGATAATGCCAGATTCTCACATTCTTCTTTCTTCAGGTACCAGTCTTGATGCTCTTTGTATTCTCAGAGTTTTTTTTTTTTTTTTTTTTTTTTTTTAAGATGTGGGCTTTACACCAGCATTTCATGCGCAAAAGTGGGTCGTATGTGTGAAGTGTGAAGTATTGAAACTAGCCTTCATCTAGGTTCCTGAAAGACTCTCTTAACCCTTTGACTGTCGCGGCCGTATATATACGTCTTACGAGGTACCGTGTTTGACGTATATATACTCATAAATTCTAGCAGCTTCAAATCAAGCAGGAGAAAGCTGGTAGGCCCACATGTGAGAGAATGGGTCTGTGTGGTCAGTGTGCACCATATAAAAAAATCCTGGAGCACGCAGTGCATAATGAGAAAAAAAAAAACTCCGACCATTTTTTTTTAATTAAAATGCCGACTTTGTGGTCTATTTTCGTATAGTATTTATGGTTGTATTCTCATTTTCTTGGTCTCATTTGATAGAATGGAAAACATATTATAGAAATAGAGGCGATTTTGATTGATTTTACTATAAAAAGAACCTGGAAATGGAGCTCAAAATAGGGGAAATGTTTGATTTTTGCCAATGTTCAAAAGTAAACAAATGATGTCATTGTCCAATAAATGTCCAACTAGCCATTCTAATATGCAGTCATGAATGGGTTGATGTTATTTATACAATTATTACAGTATTGCAGTAGTCTGCATAATAGTAAGTCTTCTATTTTTTGTTTGAATAAAAATTCAAAATAGAAAGTAAGAGTAATATCAGAGGGGCCTGGAGACATGACTGATGAACAAAGAAAATGTTATTTTAGAGCCAGGAATGTCTGCATTGTTCATTCTGGACCTTATTTTGAAATTGTCATATTTTTTAATTTTTGTGAAATTGGCCAAATTGCAAATTTCTGACCACATTATTGGGTAGTTGAAATCGGTAAATGGGCAGTTTCTTGTACTCAATCGATAGAAAAAATGAAGTTCTAAAGAAATAGCTATGAGTTTGGTCGATTGGAACAATGAAATTAGCCAAAAATAGGGCTCAAAGTGGGCGAAATCGCCGAATTTGTAAATATCGCCAAGGTCGCTAACTTCGTGAGACCACAATTCCATCAGTTTTCCATCAAATTTCGTTTTTTGGTGTCATTACAATCGGGAAAAGATTCTCTATCATTTCATAAGAAATAATTTTTTTTTTTTTTTTTGAAATTTTGCGACACCAGGAGACACCTCAGGATTAGGGGTTGCGACAGTCAAAGGGTTAAATTTGCAAGCTTAGCCTTCATTGCTACTGCTGTATTTACATTGTGTGCCTCTAAGTCAGAGTTGGGGTAATGGTTATTCTTTAACCTGCTTCTTCCCATTGTTACCATTGTTCTAGTATTATCATAACCTTGTCATTACATTTCTTTTCATGACGGCTTGTTTCTCCAATGTGGTAAATAGTCTGTAACACCATTTAAAAAAATTTTTAGTCTATTAAGTCCACACATTACATTTTTTTTTAACCTTTTCTCTTGTTATTCAGTCATGTGTCTAGGAGGTTAGTAATCCATTCTGTTGATATGTGAGGAATAAATACTCAAGAGTCTAGATGTTCAGAAAGTCTCTTCTACCATTTTCTAATTTGTGTTATTCTTGTTAGGGACTGTGTGTGCTGCCTATGGCCTTTCATATTGGTATGGCATTTTCTATCTTCCAATCATCTAGTACTTTGCCCATCTCTAATGATTTGTTAAAGATCAGTGTGAGTGTTCTGCATATTTTGACTCTCTAATATTTTTTGGGGGTATTCAGATTTTGTTGCCTATACTGTGTCAAGTTTCATCAAGTCTTCTCTTCAGTTTCAATATTTCATGGTTGTGTTTAATTTATCCTATCTTGTTTCAGTGTTTGATAGTTTAATTTACCCTCTCTTCCATTTGTGGTATGGACCTTTGCTCATTTATAAAATTATCATAAAATCTTGTTGAGCTATTTTCTTTTTTTCCAACTCACCAGCCGTATCCCACTGAGGCAGGGTGACCTAAAAAGAAAAACAAAAGTTTTTCATTTTGCACTTAGTGGCAGGAAAAACTTCTTACAACCTGCATGGCTTATGGAGGAAGAATTCTTTCCCACTTTCCCATGGAGTGTTGAGCTTATATAACTTAAATATTTCCTGTTAGTTTCTCTCCTTACTTCTTTGTAACCACTTGTTCCTTTTTCATTTTTCTTTATTGTGGCTATAAAGAAGCTTTGGTTCTGTCTGTGCCTTGGGTGCAGTGTGTATTTCAAATTTTTCTGCTATCCTCTTCACCTTGATATACTGAAATTTTTAACTCATCTTCTAGCTTCTCTGCTCTTTGGATTTGTATTCATTTTATATTTCAGCCCTGCCTACATGTTCCTAGATTTTACCTCCAGACTGACAGTTTAACCATGGGTTCACTCAATATTTTCGTCCTCTATGACTTTGTACAAACCTAGTTTTGCATCTTGTACTTTTGTTTGAAAATTAGTCATTTCCTGGGGAAGCTGTCCCTTTAATTCATCTCCCTAGTGTACCTAAACCAGAAAATACCTTATTCTTTCATTCATAGTCACTTAAGTAACTTGTTAGTTGAAGTGAACAGAGGTGAATTTTGGGGGGCTTTGATGTGGTTTGCAAGCATGATATCTACAAGGGAATTCAGGAAAACTCCCTAATTAGAAGTATGCCAGAGTGATGCTGTGGTTTAACAAGTAATTATTGGATTGTGATTATTGTATCCTGAAATGGGATCCAGGATCCAATAGATGGTGAATATGTATTTCTTTGAGTTGTACCACTTTGGCAGTAAGCATTCAGTGTTTTAAGAAAAAATTCTTTAGTATTCTAATATGTGATCATTGGTCATTTGTATATTATTTATTATACTTAAACATGTGCATGTGTTAGCTTGAATTATGATTTGTAGTTGTACTTTGTGCAGTATTTGTTATTTTTAGTACATGCTCTTCAGATCTCAAGTTTGTGTATTCTTGCAGATAGATCTTTAATGTTTATAACTTTGTTGACATACTCTGATTCATATCTTCAGTTCTTTCTGTTAAGGTATTTGTAGAGATACCCATAATTAGAGGAATTTGTTTAATTTGTGCCTCAGGCTGTTTATAACTTAGAATAGGCATGCCATCATGATGTGTTCCAGGTGCATTTTAGGAATGCCACAAAATTTGTAGTGAGGATGTCATTTTGAGCACAAGATCCAAGTATGGTCCAACATCCAGGCATGGTTGCTGGTATACAAAGTGTCGTTAATAAATCCTCAAATGAATTTAATTGTTGAATCTCCAGTCTTAAGATTTTTTAATAAATTAAATTTGCAAGACTCAGATATTAGCAAAGATAGTTAATATTAAGCCTACTCATATTTTCAGATTTGTGTTGATCTTTCTTAGAACCAAATGCTTCATAGTAATGAGAGACTTCTAGAACTGTTCCCAAAGGTCACAAGAAGTGCTAGAATAGCAAGTGACACTACGTTGACTCCATTTTATACAGTTAAAGGATTTTTTTTTTTTTTTTGGTGTGTCTCATTGTATTTGGTTTTGGCCATGCTGTTTTGTTTCATAAAAAATAACCTAACCTATATCTATAAGAATGGAGAGAGCAAGGGGAAGGGAGGAGGGAGAGTGATGAAGAAAGAAAATACAACCTGTATCTGAGGGACTAGAATGATCTGTAACTTTAATTGCTAAAGTTTGTAAGTTATATAAAATTAATGAGGAGGTATTAAAAACTTTCATGGGTTTATGAAGGATGAGGTAAACCATAGACTTGATGAAAAAAGGAGAGTGGTGCATTGAGGTATCTGTGGAGACAAAGAACTTTATCCAAGGAGGCAAAGAAGGGAACATACTTGAGTATAGTGGTACCAACACACTTACATGGGTGTGAAGCATGGGTTGTAAATACTGCAGCGAGGACGTGGCTGGAGGCAGTGAAGATGTCATGTCTAAGGGCAGTGTGTGGTATAAATATTATGCAGAGAATTTGGAGTGTGGAAATTAGAATGTGTGAAGTTATTAAAAGTATTAGAGGGCTGAAGAGGGGCTGTTGAAGTGGTTTGGTCATTTAGAGAGAATGGAACAAAGAATGACTTGGAGAACGTATAAATCTGTTGGAGAAGGAAGTTGGGGTAGGGGTCGTCCCCAAAAAGATGGGAGGGAGGGGGCAAAGGAGGTTTTGTGGGCGAAGGGGCTGGACTTCCAGCAAGCGTGTGAGAGCATGTTAGATAGGAGTGAATGGAGACGAATGGTTTTTGGAACCTGATGAGCTGTTGGAGTGTGAGCAGGGTAATATTTTGTCAAAAATTCAGGGAAATCGGTTAGCCAGACTTGAGTCCTAGAAGTGGGAAGTACAATGCCTGCACTTTAAAGGAGGAATTTAGGATATTGGCAGTTTGGAGGGACGTCTAAACTGTCGTATCTGAGCGTCTCTGCAAAGACAGTAATTATGTATGAGTGATGGTGAAAGTGGTGAATGATGAAAGTTTTTTCACTCTTTTGGGGGTTTTCTTTCTTTTTAGGCCACCCTGCCTTGGTGGGAAACGGTCGACGTCTTAAAAAAAAAAAGAAAAAACGAGTATTTGATGATGCAAAATTTTATACAAACTTTTTTTTTTTTTTTTTAATGCTGTCTCCCACTGAAGCAGGGTGACCCAAAAAAAAAAAAAAAGAAATTTTCAACATCATTCACACTATCACTGTCTTGCAAGAGGTGTGCATATACGTACGACAGTTTAGATATCGCTCTAAACTGCAAATATTCCAAACCCCTCCATTAGCGTGCAGGCACTGTACTACCACCTCCAGGACTCAAGTCCAGCTAACTGGTTTCCACTGAATCCCTTCACAAAATATTACCCTGCTCACACTCCCAACAGCTCATCGAGTCCCAAAATCCATTCATCTCCACTCACTCCTATCTAACATGCTCACACATGCTGGCTGTATGTCCAAGCCCCTTGCATACACAACCTCTTTTACCTTCCCTCCCTCCATCCTTTCCTAAGACGAGCCCTACCTTGCCTTCCCTCCACTAAAGACTTATGCACCTTCCAAGTCATCCTATTTTGCTCCATTCTCTCTAAATGACCAAGCCACCTCAACAACCCCTCCTCAGCTCTCTGAATAATACTTTTAGTATCTCCACATCTCCTAATATTCACACTATGAATTCTCTGCATAATATATATGCCACACATTCCCCTCCATTACATCTCCACTGCCTCCAGCCTCTTTGTTGCTGCAATGTTCACAATCCATGCTTCACACCCATGGGTTGTGAATTTCTTCTTTCAACAAACCAGCCGATATGCCACCGAGGCAGGGTGGCCAAAAAAGAAAAACAAAAGTTTCTCTTCATAACTTTAGTAATGTATATAGAAGGGGTTACTAGTTCCTTGCTCCCAGCATTGTAGTTGCCTCTTAATAACATGCATGGCTTATGGAAGAAGAATTCTGCTCCATTTCCCCATGGAGATAAACAAGAACTAGCAAGAAAATAGAAGAAAACCCAGAGGGGTGGGTATATATATGCCTGTATATGTTTAGTGTGACCTAAGTGTAAGTAGAAGTAGCAAGACATACCTGAAACCTTGCATGTTTGAGACAAAAAAAAACACTAGCAATCCTACCATCATGTAAAGCAATTACAGGTTTCCATTTTACACTTGCTTGGCAGAACAGTAGTACCTTCCTGGGCAGTTGCTGTCCACCAACCTACTACCTAGGGGTTGTAAATTTACCATGACTAAGTTCCTTGAAAAGAACTTGGGTAGAATAAATGGAAGTATAAATAGTTGATGGAATTGAATGTTAACCCTTTCACTGTCCAGACCCATTAAATTAATATTGCTCTGTCCTCTGTTTAATTAAACCAAAATGGTAGAAAGTCCTTTTCTGAAGGTAATGGAACAAATGTATCTTTACCCTTATTTAAGGTCTGCTCATTTACTTAAAGGTAAAACCTTGGTCTACATATTCTCTACCCTTCATAAATCTTCCCTGCTCCTTTGTAATCCTATTTTTTCTTTCCCTTAACCTTTTCATTAATTGTTTTGAACTTTACCTGGTACACTCATCCCTATCATTCCTACATTCTCCTGTTCCCTTTTCCCTTACACAGAGGAAACAATGCATGCTTTCTACCAGTCCTTTAGTACCTTCTCTTTCTTGCATCTATTCTGAACAATCACTCCTACCTGCTTTTAACATTTACCTTAATCCCATCTACCTACCCCAGCCACTTTACTCCTCTTTCATTTTATCCATTGCCTTGCCTACTTTCCCCACATCCCACTAATAAATGAGGTTATCCCTCCCTTCCCAGTGCATGAAATCACTGCTTTCCTTTATCAGTAACATTCAGCAGCTTGTCAGAATTACATATAATGATAAAAGGATACAAGAGAATAAAGAAAATCGCTCACATCAACAGAGACAGTGCTTACAGTTACTAACAAAAGAAAGTACAGTAATTTTTGTGTTTTAAGTCTACTACTATTTTTTTTTTTCCTCATGGACAGTGGTAGAACAGTGGAATGGTGCTACATCTGTTGGAAATTAAAAAAAATTATCAATTTAGTTCTGAAAATGGGACACCATGAGCATAGCTCTGTTGTTGTAGCTCTATATAGGTAGAAATAATAGGTGCTATAAGCACATGCAACTTCTACAGTGTTACAGGGGCTATAATCACATGCAAATCCTTCACACTGCTACACACAGATCACATCAAATGCTACAGTGCTACAAACAGCTCATCTCACATTGTGATGCACACTCAGACTTCACAGTACTGCATAAGCACAACATAGGTAGGTTGGTAGACAGCAACCATCCAGGGAGGAGTTACCATCTTGTCATAAGTGTGTGAAATGGAAGTTTCTGTTTTACACTGGCAGGATTATTGGTCTTTATTTTTCTGTCTATTAAACCTTGTAAATGATGCAGAATTGTATGTATATTTAGTATATGCTTTACTTTGTGTATTTTTCTTAATAGTTCATATTTCCAATTAGGAAGTCTGGTCAGAGATGTGGCTGTGGGGCAAATGATCGTCAGAATCGTTTAGATTAACTGTTTAGTATTAACGTGCATAACACCATGCTGTATAAAGCAGACCCCATACCAAGGTACATAAGTAGATCTCTCACTACTATGCCTGCAAACCTCTCACTGTGCTGCACATGCAGGCCCCCCTTGCTGTGCTGCACATGCAGGCTCCCATCGCTGTGCTGCATGTGCAGGCCCCCCTTGCTGTGCTGCACGTGCAGGCCCCCCTCGCTGTGCTGCACGTGCAGGCCCCCCTCGCTGTGCTGCACGTGCAGGCCCCCCTCGCTGTGCTGCACATGCAGGCCCTCCCTCGCTGTGCTGCACGTGCAGGCCCCCCCTCGCTGTGCTGCACATGCAGGCCCTCCTCACTATGCTGCACATGCAGGCCCTCCTCGCTGTGCTGCACATGAAGGCCCCCCTTCCTCGCTGTGCTGCACATGAAGGCCCCCCTTCCTCGCTGTGCTGCACATGCAGACCCCCCTTCCTCACTGTGCTGCACATGCAGACCCCCCTTTCTCGCTGTGCTGCACATGCGGATCCCCCCCTCGTTGTGCTGCACATGCGGATCCCTCTTCACTGTGCCGTATGTGCTGACTCCTCTCTGTTACAGACTTATCACTGCCACACATGCAAACTTCTCACTAGAGTCCTGCATACAGATCTCTCACTGCTACACATTTAAGTCTCACTGTGCTTCACATACTGGCCTCTGCGTCCTGCACACAGCCCACAATACATAAGTGCAGAATGCTAAAAAATATTCAGATAAACACCAATTATTTTTCTTTAGGTATGATGACTACCGCCGAAGAAGTGATTCACCGGACTTCAGGAGACGTTCCCGATCCCGATCATAGGTAAGTCTGTACTTCACTAACATTTCCTTTTATAGGTGCCAATAAAAATTTTCTACACTGAATTGTGCTTTCTTTTGGCGGCTTGAAAAGTCGACAAAAGATCACCAGTTCTGTTAAGGTATAAAAGACAGCCATTATTTTATAGTGTACAGTACTGTATTTTAATTCATAAATATTATTTTAGGGCATTTTATCACTAGATGTTCTTTTCTTGCACTCTTTTAGTACCTGTCCACTTTTAATCCTTCATAATGCCAGGTGCCTAACATTCAGTAACTTGATGCATTTCACTCATATATATATTATACAGTATTATCACCAGAGATACTTTCCTGTCCTGGTAAATAAACACTACTACTGCCCCACTTTTTTTTTTTTTTTTTTTTTTTTTTTTTCTCAACAAGTCGGTCGTCTCCCACCGAGGCAGGGTGACCCAAAAAAAAAAAGAAAGAAAATCCCCAAAAAGAAAATACTTTCATCATCATTCAACACTTTCACCACACTCACACATTATCACTGCTTTTGCAGAGGTGCTCAGAATATAACAGTTTAGAAGCATATACGTATAGAGATACACAACATATCCCTCCAAACTGCCAATATCCCAAACCCCTCCTTTAAAGTGCAGGCATTGTACTTCCCATTTCCAGGAATCAAGTCCGACTATATGAAAATAACCAGTTTCCCTGAATCCCTTTACTAAATATTAGCCTGCTCACACTCCAACAGATCGTCAGGTCCCAAGTATCATTCGTCTCCATTCACTCCTATCTAACATGCTCATGCACGCTTGCTGGAAGTCCAAGCCCCTCACCCACAAAACCTCCTTTACCCCCTCTTTCCAACCCTTTCGAGGACGACCCCTACCCCTCTTTCCTTCCCCTATAGATTTATTGCTTTCCATGTCATTCTACTTTGATCCATTCTCTCTAAATGACCAAACCACCTCAACAACCCCTCTTCTGCCCTCTGACTAATGCTTTTATTAACTCCACACCTTCTCCTAATTTCCACACTCCGAATTTTCTGCATAATATTTACACCACACATTGCCCTTAGACAGGACATCTCCACTGCCTCCAACCGTCTCCTCGCTGCTGCATTTACCACCCAAGCTTCACATCCCACTTATTAACCCTTAAACGGTCCAAGCAGATAGACATTCAAATCCGTAGTGCTCCAAAAGTAGATCTACATTTTTTACATATTTTCAAAAATAACAAAAAAAAAAATAGATAAGTTTTTTACACATTTTTAAATGTAAAACAAGAAAGAGATCTACATTTTTTTACATACTTTCAAATGTTGAAAAAACGTATATATACGTTTGGACCATTTAAGGGTTAATGGGTAAAAACACTTTTTTGTATTCCTTTGGCACTGCTTTTTACTGGTTACTGTTGTGACTACTCATTTTCCATTGTTGAGGTTAAAATGTCTTTATCTATACTTTCTTGTATCCTTTTGGGACCTTGAATATGGTTAATTGGTCTTGTTTTGGCTTCATGTCTGCCAGTGAAAATACTTTTCAAACTTTCATGGCCATTTCTGTAACTCAGATTTTATGGCTTATTTAATTTTTTATCCTATCCACTTTTATATTAAAATTTTGGTATACCTTACATTTAAGAACTGTTCTGGCATTTTCCCATCCTTGTATCTAAAGGCTGACTTAAAGTTAGTCATTATAGTAAGAGTTTTTCATCAAGATTTCATTTACTGTATATGAACTTTTAAGTGATGATATTTTGTCTATAATTACTTTTAGATTCAACAAATTAATATAGTAATTTTTAATTCTAGTGACTAAGTCATTTATATAAATTTAGAAATAATTGGAAAGCACTGGTCCATGATGAACATGGTAACATTTACTCATGGCATTTTTGTTATGCATTTTCTTGCAAAGACACAAATGCATGTTATAGTTTGCCTTTTGTCCTCTTAAGCTTTATTCTCCAATCTGTGGTAGATTGTGATGAGCCTGATGATCTTGGAGGGGACTAGAGGAGACATGATTAATATGTTGTAAGAGGAATTGATAAGAGTAAATAAGAACATGAAGCTGCACAGTTTAAATTGTGAGGGCCAGCCACAATTAGAGAAGTGTAAAGGTAAAAGATTAATATGCCTTAGGGATATTAGGAAGTAGAGTACTGTTTCACTCTCCTAGGTAGAGAAGAGGAATGAAGTTAATAACTGGAGGCAATTTTAGTACCAGGTAGTGTAATTATTTGAGCTTGTGGGAAACAGGGATGAGCTTGAGTTCTTGGTCTCTAGGGACCAGTAATCAATAATACTGGTTGATATAGTTTTAGAGACAGGGGTCAGGAGCAAGGCTCCAATTACTGCAAACTCCAATCAGTGAGTGTACATGTGTGCACTCAGTAAAATTTGAGCATAAAACTAAAATATAAGTAGTGACCCCTCAAACTGAATAGACTAGTAGGAGGAGGGGTGCCTGTTAAAGCTGATTTACGAGTATCTTTTGTGACTAGCAGTAATGGACAGTTTTTGGATTGAACAGACCAAGTTTGTTAAATTGGAAAATAATTCTACCAAGCAGACTGCAACAATAACCAAATTTTGGATTTAACAAACTTTGTCCATTAAGTAATTTTTTTTTTCCCAACAAGTCGGCCGTCTCCCACCGAGGCAGGGTGACCCAAAAAGAAAGAAAAAATCCCCAAAAAGAAAATACTTTCATCATTATTCAACACTTTCACCTCACTCACACATAATCACTGAATATGGGGAGCTTTTAATTAAGCTATGTGTAGAAAGAGGTTTGATAATAAGTAATACATATTTTATGAAAAAGAGGATAAATATACAAGGTAGGATATAGCACGTAATGAAAGTAGTTTGTTAGATTATGTATTGGTGGATAAAAGGTTGATGGGTAGGCTCCAGGATGTACACGTTTATAGAGGGGCAACTGATATATCGGATCATTATCTAGTTGTAGCTACAGTTAGAGTAATGGTAGATGGGATAAGAGGAAAATGACAAGAAGTAAGAGGGAGGTGAAAGTGTATAAACTAAGGAAGGAGGAAGTTTGGGTGAAATATAAGCAACTATTGGCAGAAAGGTAGGCTGGTGCAAGTATGAGTAGTAGGGGGGGTTGAAGAGGGTTGGAATAGTTTTTAAAATGCAGTATTAGAATGTGGGGCAGAAGTTTGTGGTTATAGGAGGGTGGTGCAGGAGGAAAGAAGAGTGATTGGTGGAATGATGAAGTAAAGTGTGTGATAAAAGGGAAAAGAGTAGCTTATGAGGTATTTACAAAGCAGAAGTGTTATAAGAAGAGTAGAGTATATGGAGAGTAAAAGAAAGGTGAAGAGAGTGGTGAGAGAGTGCAAAAGGAGAGCGGATGATAGAGTGGGAGAAAATTTAATGAAAATAAGAAAAAAATTTGGAGTGAGTTAAAAAAGTTAAGAAAGCCTAGGGAACGAATGGATTTGTCAGTTAAAAACAGAGTAGGGGAGTTAGTAGACGGGGAGATGGAGGTAGATGGTGAGAATATTTTGAGGAACTTTTAAATGTCAACGAAGAAAGGGAGGCGGTAATTTCATGCACTGGCCAGGGAGGTATACCATCTTTTAGGAGTGAAGAAGAGCAGAATGTGAGTATGGAGGAGGTGCGTGAGGCATTACATATAATGAAAGGGGGTAAAGCAGCTGGAACTGACGGGATCATGACAAATGTTAAAAGCAGGGGGGGGACAGTGTTGGAGTGGTTGGTATTATTTTTGTTTAATAAATGTATGAAAGAGGGGAAGGTACCTAGGGATTGGTGGAGAGCGTGTATAGTCCCTTCATATAAAGGGAAGGGGGACAAAAGAGATTGTAAAAATTATAGAGGAGTAACTTTACTGAGCATTCCAGAAAAAGTGTTCGGTAGGGTTATTATTGAAAGAATTAAAGGTAAGACAGAATGTAGAATTGCAGATGAGCAAGGTTTTAGAGTGGGTAGGGGATGTGTAGATCAAATGTTTACATTGAAGCATATATGTGAACAGTATTTAGATAAAGGTAGGGAAGTTTTTATTGCATTTTTGGATTTAGAAAAAGCATATGATAGAGTGGATAGGAGAGCAATGTGGCAGATGTTGCAAGTACATATATGGAATAGGTGGTAAGTTACTAAATGCTGTAAAGAGTTTTTATGAGGATAGTGAGGCTCAGGTTAGGGTGTGTAGAAGAGAGGGAGACTACTTCCCTGTAAAAGTAGGTCTTAGACAGGGATGTGTAATGTCACCATGGTTGTATAATATATTTATAGAAGGAGTTGTAAAAGTAGTAAATGCTAGGGTGTTTGGGAGAGGGGTGGGATTAAGTTATGGGGAATTAAATACAGAATGGGAAGTGACAGTTACTATTTGCTGATGATACTGTGCTTATGGGAGATTCTGAAGAAAAATTGCAAAGGTTAGTGGATGAATTTGGGAGTGTGTGTAAAGGTAGCGAACACAGAAAAGAGTAAGGTGATGAGGGTATCAAATGATTTAGATAAAGAAAAATTTGATATCAAATTGGGAAGGAGGAGTATGGAAGAAATGAATGTTTTCAGATATTTGGGAGTTGATGTGTCAGCAGATGGATTTATGAAGGATGAGGTTAATCATAGAATTGATGAAGGGAAAAAGGTGAGTGGTGCATTGAGGTATATGTGGAGGTAAAAAATTTTTCTATGGAGGCAAAGAAGGGAATGTAGGAAAGTATAATAGTACCAACACTCTTATATATAGGTGTGAAGCTTGGGTTGTAAATGCTGCAGCGAGAAGGCAGTTGGAGGCAGTGGAGATGTCCTGTCTAAGGGCAATGTGTGGTGTAAATATTATGCAGAAAATTCGGAGTGTGGAAATTAGGAGAAGGTGTGGAGTTAATAAAAGTATTAGTCAGACGGCTGAAGAGGGTTTGTTGAGGTA